TTAATATTAAATTACAGAAAAAAAAAATTGAAAAATTACCAAGTTTTATTTATCAATTTTAATATGAAACTCTACTATGACACTGGAAGAATTTGCTATATAGAGATGGGTGACTGTTGTTACCTAAAGAATCCATTATATAGAGATGGGTAATTTGTCCCTCTTTCTTTAATGGACTCTTCTAATGAAGTAGAAAAGGTTTTATTTTTAAAATTATTTTTCCTTATTTGAAATTTTATTTTTAATTTAATTTTATATTTTGTTTGTTCTCTTCTTTTTTTTCCCAGCTCTTCTATTCTTTTCCTTTGTTTATTGTAAGGAACACTGTTATCCTTTTTGTGTGTGTGTGTGTTACCCTCATATGATCATTTATATTTGTTTGCCCACTAAATGTTGATTGTTTTTGTTTCTTTCTTTGTTATTTTTTTGTCTCTTTCTTTGTTATTTTTTTGTCTCTTTCTTTGTTATTTTTTTTGTTTGGCTTTGTTATTTTTTTTGTCTCTTTCTTTGTTATTTTTTTTGTTTTGCTTTGTTTCTTTGTTTTCGTATTTATTTGTTTTTTTTGTTGTTTGTTTTTTGGGAGGGTTGTTTTTCTGCTGTTTTATTTTTTATGTATTTTTGTTTTTTACTTTGTTTTTTACTTTTTTTGTATTTTACTTTTTTACTTTTTTTGTATTTTTACTTTTTTTGTATTTTTACTGTTTTTTGTTTGTTTTTTGTTTACTGTTTTTGTTTGTTTTTTTTTTACTGTTTTTGTTTGTTTTTTTTTTACTGTTTTTTTTTTTTACTGTTTTTTTTGTTTTTTTTACTGTTTTGTTTGTTTTTTTTTACTGTTTTTGTTTTTTTTTTTTTGTTTTGTTTTTTTTTTTTTTTTTTGTTTGTTTTTTTTTTACTGTTTTTGTTTGTTTTTTTTTTTTACTGTTTTTGTTTGTTTTTTTTTACTGTTTTCGTTTGTGTTTTTTTTTACTGTTTTTGTTTGTTTTTTTGTTTTTTTTACTGTTTTTGTTTGTTTTTTTTTTTTTTTACTGTTTTTGTTTGTTTGTTTTTTTTTTTACTGTTTTTGTTTGTTTGTTTTTTTTTTTACTGTTTTTTTTTTTTTACTGTTTTTTTTTTTACTTTTTACCATTTCACTAATGTTGTCCTCATTTTTGTAAGACAAACTAGAGAAATGACATAACTTGTCTCCAAATTGTACTATTTATTTGATCAAATTTTAACAGAGCAGTTTGGTGGCTTATTAATCCTTTTTATCTTCATCCTCTTAAGACAACATTTTTATGAAATTGCTAGGAAAAATATTACCAATAAGTGCTATTAATATATTTAAATAGATTTTAATGTCAACATATTGGTCTAATTTGAATTAAAATCCAATTGATTTGTTATCTAAATTGTAAAATTTGTGTAATTTGTCTCTTAAACATAATTATTTTTAAAAGTGTAAGTGTTTCTATTTGCTATAATATTAAGCAAATTTTACATAGAAAAAACAGACTACATAAATAAATTTTAGTCAACCTGACTAATAAATGATATATTGTTTGATGTGAAATAGTGCTAAGTTAGTCACTAATGTTCATGGACTTAAGGTGCATATTAATTAAAATGTGGTTATTTTAAAGGAATTATTTTATTTAAAATTTAAATTAATCTATATCACACTTCCTTTCTTTCATTTTTTTTCTTTTTTTTCTTTACAACTTTGATTTCTTGTTTGTTAAATTTTCAGGGCATGTGAGATATTTTTTTCTTTAATTTGTGACCTCCCTGCTCAGTGTGTGAAGTAGAATGAAACTTAACCACTTCTATATCTTGAAGTATGTGTGTTGGGGGAGGGCAGGTAAGATGGAGAAAATATGAAAATCCTTAACCAGTGAGGCACAATATTTTTTAAGTGTTCATGTCATATGTAATCGGTTTAGTATGAGATTCATAAATGCAAAGATCAGGATATTAGCAAAAGATGAATGATAACCATTTTAGATAAGATTGTGTTAACTTTTCCTTTTTTGTCTCGGTGTCTTTTTAGCATTTTGGAATTTTATTGCATTTGTCTATTCCTTAAGACAACTTGTGCTTTTCTTGCATCTCCCTTTTTATTGCTTTATCTCCTTTTTTCATAAATGACTTTGATTCAAGAACTTCTAATTGTTAAGCAAATCTAAGTTTTTTTTTTTTTTTTTTTTTTTCCCCATCTAAGTTGTTAAAACTAGATCAGAAGAGAGATCATCTTTCAGGTTCTGGTCATCTCGAGTTTTAGAGAAAGGAAATTGATGCAAATACAAAGAATCCCCATCATTTAGTTGCATATAATGGATAAACTATTAATGTTAATAAAAATAGATATTATTTTTCATTTACTTCATAATTACATTATAAGTAATTTATTTCTTAGAAAAATGTTTGTCTATAGTTGGCTGTGTAGACTTTATTTCATTATTATACAATTTCTTCTTGCCTTTGGTCATCTTACCCAAATTTCTGCAGATTTTGCTGATTCTGTCCATATTAGGATTAACATATTAGGATTAACATTTTGCTAAAAATCCTTGATAACTTCTGCAGGTTTCAATCTTTTAACTTCTTTCATTAAAAACTTTAATTCTTTGTATAACTCAGTTAAAAGCAGGATGGATAGACAATCATCAATTGCATACAAATTACAACAACCAGGAATATGTCTGGAGACATTGACTTATAACTATTACTTAGTTTCACACCAACTGCAATTATCAGACAAATACAATTGTAATAGTAGAACTTGTAGTTCAGTATCTCTAGACAGATTCTAGGTTGTTAATATTGGTTTCTCATTTCAGGTTTCTTTATTCTATAGGCTTTGAGCACTTTTGGTTATTGTATAGGTAGATGGCTATTTCTCATTTTGCAGGTTTTGTATTGGTAGACTTTGTGACAAATTTTCCATTCACTTCTTACTTGGTTATATTATTTCTTAACACTCCAAATTTTTATATATAATGAGATTATAGATTATATTATGTGCAAATGAAAAGGAATGATCTTAGTTGTTTTACAATGGTGGTTTCAAAAGAAAATAATGCATTGTATTTCTGTTATTTTATTTATTTTTTTTATTATTGTTGCTGTTTATTGAATATGAGGAATGTAACTAAATTTGAATTTTGCCAGCAGATGGCACTTTATGGCTAAATTAGTGTTATTTGCAAGTGCTTGGGATATGAGTTCATATCTCATCAGATGCTATTTGTTTTATTTCTGACTTTGGTTTCTTAATGTACATAGGAATGTAAAATGACCTTGGCACTCTGATAAACATGGAAGTCTAGTGTGAAAAAAAAAACCCAATCTTTCCTCTTAGAAATTGAATAACTTATGTTATATATATATATATATATATATATATATATATATATATATATATATATATATATTTAATTATTTAAAAATTATAAAACATGTTATAAAATCACTACAAAAATACCCATTTTGTTTCAACACCTCTGGTGTCTTATCAAGAGGTGTTGAAACAAAATGGCTATTTTTGTAGTGATTTTATAACATGTTTATGTTATAATTTTTAAATTATATTTGCTCTACTCTGTATTGAGCACTCTTAAGAATAGTAATTGTTGGTTATTGAAATTTATTCTGTATATACCAATCCTATACTTGGGTATATATATATATATATATATATATATATATATAATTACAAATGTTATGTGATTATTATGAGGTGTCCTCTTAAAGTAATCTTTTATTTCAATGGAAATAACAGATCCTGGGAGCACAATAACATGATTGGATAGAGCAATTTTTTTTTTTTTTTTGTCACCACCCTTTGTCTATATGTTTTCATTAGAGATGAACATTTTATGGATTCATAGCTGTTTAAAGATGACTGCCTAGAACCTGGTTGGTCATACTCATTACTATTGCTGAAATGTATTACCTACCACCTAATTGTGCCAATATTCAGCAAGCATTGATAAATGTCAACAGATGCAATTTTTCCCAGATGGAGAAATTCAATAATACACTTTCATGTCACTATTTTACCATATGGCTGTTCAGCTGTTATTTGTAAAAAAGGCCAAATAAATTATGGGTTATTGGTAGGGATGTTCAACTTGCTGGAGCCTGACCACTATTATCCACTTCTGATGTCATAGGCCAACATTTAAAAAAATTAAAATAATATTATTATTATTATTTTCTTCTTGTTCAAAAGATGAGGATGGAGTGTGAACCAGCCATTGCTGACTAAACCCAATATAAAAAAAATTGATCACTAAACAAACTGCTTTTATGTTCAATCAAAGAATAACCTCTATGAAAATGGGGAAAATAGCATGAAATAAAACTAGCTAAAAGCAGATTTAAGTTGTGTTGAAATTGTGATTAGTCTTCATGTCATTTTCTTTGGTGACTGTGAGAGAATGTATTAATTAAAGGTGCAATCCAATGTGTAATATTTTTGCAGTATTTCAATCAATCTTCCGTGACCTCTATTCTGAGATCACACAATTTCTAAAAATTTCTATTTTTCATTTGGTATTTTTTGATGATTTTTTTTTTTTTTTACCTTCAGCAGATTTTATTGCTTTGTTTTTCTCATTTAAAAATATATATATATATATATATAAACCAAATTCATCATTGAAAACAAGTTGATTTCTCTTTTTTTCTTTTTTTTTTTTTTCTCTCTTTTTTCCTTTAATTTGAAAGATGAGGAGGAGGAGGAGGTAGGGATGACTGCTTAGTTCTTTCTGAATCTTGAACACTTTAAGATTATCAGAAAATTTTGAAAGAGAAATTCCCTTGGTAATTTTCCTTAAAGGTTTTTACTTCTATTAATTTGGATCAGAAAATATACACCTTGATTTGGATTTTTATTTATTTATCTTTTGACATTAAAAACTTTTTTTTCTCTCACCACTGTCCCACTGGCTTTGAAACCCAGCCTTGACCCAAGAGATTATCCTTATCTATTGATATCTTTGTTTTTGCCTCATCAGCCTTGCTAACACCTGGCCTGAATCAAATTGGTGTGGCTGGAGGACTACCGGCTCAAACAAATGGAACGTCCCTGCAGAGCTCTGCCCACAGCTACAACCACAGCGCTCAAGGCGGACAGAGTCTGCCGCCTCTACCACCTAAAAAGAAGCCACCAGCCCCCATTCCACCATCTGGCCACACCAGGAACTGGTCAGAGCCCAATGCCTCCTTTTTGGGTCATCATCGCACACCTTCTGACCCACCGCCTTCGCGACCCTTCCCATCAAATGTTGAGAACCGAAATACAGTGCATGTTCCAGTAGGTAAGAGGTGACAAAAAAACAATCTTGTTTCTAGTTCTCAAAAAAGAAAAAAAGTCACCACTCTCTCTATCTGTCTCTTTTATTTCCTCTTCCTCTTTCTCACTACACCCACACATCTTTCCCTGTTACTTTTGCTCACTCTCAGCATTAGACATTGTATTTTACAGCCTACATCTACCCACAAGTACACTCTGTTAAAGTTGGACACTCAGAGAGCTTGAACAAGAGTCTCACCCTTTTTCCTCATTACTATATAAATTTTACTTATACTATTGCATATCTAGCCTCAATCACTTTATTAAATTTTCAGTTTGACCAACACAGACTTAAAACTAGTTGATTACTGTCAAGGTTTAGAGTCTAGTAAATATCAAACATATTATGCTGGATCTGCTAGTTCTATGCTTAACTTCAATTTTAGTTTTTTGTTTTTTAAATTCAATTAGATTAATTCTCTTAGAAATATTTTTCATATGTAATTTGATTTCAAAATGAATTCCATATAATGTAAAAAAGACCCCCCCCCAAAAAAAAATGACTGTGTCAAATTATCTGGTATTGTAAATAAAATTTCAATGTTAATGGTTTATATTTAAAATCACTGTACTTCCTTCAGTGGATCTAGTGAAAGTATGTTCCCCTTTTTGTAAGATAACAAAAGCTAGAGTTTAACTTGCTAAATGTCTCAAATCAAAGGAAATAATCATTTTTAAACGATTATATCTCAGATAAAAACAATATTGGAATATGTGTTTGAAACAACACTATTTGATGTGAAAAGCCTTATTCTGTAGACTTAATGTCTAACTAGGTTATTTTCACTTTATTTAAGGATTAAAATATTTTTTTTTTATTTTAACTGGCAAACTCCATTATAATGCAAATCAGTTGTATTTTCACTTAGATGAGAGTTTCAGTATTTACTGATGACTTCAAATTAAGGGTCTGAGTATTTACAATGAAAAGCAAATAAAATTAAGATGAAAGATATTTTAGTCAAAAATTAATAATAGCTGACAATGTTTCATCTAATAAGAATTTAAATAAAAATGTCAAGATAATATTACCGTTAATACTACTCTCTATTTTACCATGTCTCTTCAGGACATAGTCGATCATAACTCTCTACTGATTCTTTTCCTTTAATATCTGGGAATTGTTATAACTTTTTGTAAAAGATAATGAAGTTGTTTATTGTTGACTTCTCTGTGTTTTTGAATTCAGAGTTGTCCTTCCATTGACTAGTTGCCACCCAAAGCTAGAAAGCCTTGTCTACCTTGCTATTTAATTCATAGCAATATTACTGCTTATGGAAAATAAGTAATAAGTTTTATATGGTTAGATCTGATCTTTTGCCCCACTGACCTTTTTGTAGCTCAAAAAAGCAGTTGTCAGACATTCTAAAGTAGAAGTGATGCAATTTCAAGTCTTGCTGAGAAATTACTCATTTACACTCCACATTGTTTATTAGCAGCTGTAGAGGGATGATCTCAATAATGATTGGGGGGGGGGGGAACAGCTTTGCTGCTTGATTTAATCATGTTTGTGCAGCTTTACCCCTAGAGAAAATTGTTTTTTAAAGTTTGTGTCACATATCACAAAATTATAATGATTTCTTATCATTGTGTGATAATTTTGAATTTTGAACTGCAGTTAATGTCCTTTTGAAGCTATTGCAACCAGTAGGTAAAGGAAAAACTGTATCCAATAAAATCATGTAAGAATTGTCTATAATTTTGAGTCATTAGTATTAAAGCTTGGTAAATTAGTTTTGTCTGTGTATTTAGTGTTACTGAAATAGGCTGTTCTAGTTACATCGGCAACCATATTCCTGCTAACATTTCCTGAAGAAATAAAGATTTTGTTCCTTCTTTTCTTATGGATTATGCACCAGACAAAAGTTGGAGAATGTGTTGAGTGAAATATTGTAGTAACAACATCCAGAAGTTCAATTCTCATGTTTTGTTCCATTATTATTATAAAAACAAAAATTAATAATAAAATAATAATTTTTTTTGTTTGTAGTCTTTAATCACAATGTCTGGTCTGTTAGCCTTTATATAAGTCCCTTACCATTCAAACTGACAGATATATAAAAGCTAATATTCCAGACATTGTTATTAAATATTATGAACAAAACAATGTCTTCTCATAGATAAAAACATATCTGTTAAAGAATGTGACAAAATAAAGCTTACAGCCATATCATGTTGATACACCAATTCCTGTAAAATCACTGAAGTTAAGCAATGTTGGGCCAGGTCAGTACTTTGATGGGTGACTGCTTGGGAATAATAGGTGCAGTAAGATTGGATGTGCAGGTAATGGCTTGGAATTGTTAATTGGAATAGTTGAGTTCCAATTCCATTATATTCAGTTACACGCAAATATCCTCAGGAAAGGTCTGAATCCACCTATTCTTCCCCCAGCTATGTGTTAATTCATAAGACTTGTATTGTTAAATCTTTACCCCCCACCAAAAAAAAAAAAAAAATTTTTTTTACAATCTAAAAATAATTTCTGGCTTTAAATAACCTGCAAAGTGTTGATAATTCAAAGAAAATGAATTAATCTGACAAAATAAATATAAGGATCCTGAAATTGAAAAAAAAAAAAATGTGGTGCATTAAAATTACTGTTACACCTATAATTGGAGTCCTGAGTACTATAAAAAAAAGTACAGAGGAAGAACATTAATAAAATCCCTGGAAGACCCTGTTTACAAGAAATTCAAAAAATTGCATTATGTGGAACTGATAAATTATTAAGGAGAATGTTATCAATATAAAGGAAATATAAACGCAGTACATAGTTAAGTTTCACTTAAAATCAGAGGTTTTTTTTTGTCTTTTTACTATCTTGCCTTGCCCAAAGACTTGCTAAGGGGTTGTACTAAACAAAACAATAAAAAAAAAAATGTTTTATTCTAATATTTATTGCTCACTAGCATATTTACTAACTATAAAAAAACATTTACTTTGTAGAAATTGATTTCTTGTATAAAAAATAAACCTTTGATAGTAAGGGAATCTACTCTAATATTTATAGCTTATCTCAGGTTTTAATTTAGTCTCTTATTTGAAAGTAAGAATACCACTACTTAGCATTTTGTAGCAATTTCATCCCTATACATAATCCTGTCCCTGTTGATCTTTAAGCTACAATGATCTGCTTATCCCAGATTTAGAATTTAACAATACCCAAATTCCTGATCTAAAATGGGGCAATTGGCAATAATTTAATTTTAAAGTTTCCTCTTCAGGAACAAAATGGATAAGTCTTGTTTTTAATCACTTTGCAAATAAATTTTCACCAATAAAAATACAAACAATTTAAGGCAATGTACAGATTTTTCACCATGTCTCATTTCAGACCCCAAAAGTACTTTAAACTTTATGTACAATAATTATGCTTCAAGTAAATGAATGTACTTTAAACCTTATTAATGTTTGTGAGTGTGGTTTTATTTCTATTTGATTATTATCTGCTTTGAAAATCTTTTAAATATTTCACTGTTCTTTAGCTTTTTTTGTTAGTTTCTTTCTTTCTCCACTTTGTCTGTCTCTTTCTTTCTTACCTCTCTCTTCTTCTCCTTTTGAAAACAATTATTTACAACAATATGCTAACTTGCTTCTTTTCTTTTTTTTTGTGCATGTAATTACTGCAATATTTTTTATCATGGAGAATATGCAATAAGGTTTCAACACAATTGATATCTAAAGCATGTCTGTCCAATTTAGAAAAAAAACAATACATTTAAACATGTGGTAAATTTGTGCCCCAAATTGTACATGGTGAAAAGACTGCACTATAATTACAAAGAAGCATTTAAATTAATAACTTAAAAGTAAAAAAAAGAAATCTTGTTCTCTTCTCTGAGTGGACATTACTGTGAGTTTACTTGTCCAGATATAACAAAAGCCTTATTTACTGTTCAGCATTTGAATGGTGAGATTTTACAAGAGTTCAATTTAGAGTTCTACTAAAAAAAGAAATTTATGCTTTCCTCACATCTCTTCTTGTAAGTATCTTGTTTCTTGTATGAATTTCACTAAGTCATTCCTTTATTCAAAATTGGCCACAGGAACTGCTACAACTTACTGCTGCTTTTTTTTTTTTTTTTTTAATATGTGTCTGTTTGAGTGAGGTGATGTTGTTTTGTTCATTTTTAATGTTTAGCTTCATTCAAAAGTTCCCTTTTTATAAAATTCAGGTATTTTTTTTTATTTTTTTAGATCCCATGTCCCTTCGGTGATTGTGACTCTTCACAGATTCCTTTTCTTATCTGTTCATTACCATGCATTCATAAGAAAGTGGTTTCCTGTAGCCTGCTTTGGAATTTAGTTTTCCTTCTCTTAGACTGGTTGTTCACCAAGGCTAGGGAGCCCAGTCTACTCTGCTATTTAACCCATTCCTTGGGAGTGAAGAGATGGATTTGTACCTTTTCCAAAAGCATCACTACAAAAAGTAACAGATGAAGCTGGAATTTGAACTCTGACTGTCAATATCACTTTCTGTGTCAATATCTGTTACACTAACCACACATCACAATCAAGTAATTACTGAAATTTTTAAAATAACAAGTCACAAATAATGTTTTATAATTCTAGAAAGCTATTTTCCAAAATATGAGGTTAAAGAAAGAACTATTTATTTTGAAAGCTAACCTTTTCATTGATTTACTCTTCGACAAAAAGCTAAAAATTTTAGTCTTCTACATACAACTCTTTTAAAGTAACTAATGTTCTTTAAGCATGAAATGATTTAATTTGTAATGAATAGAATAAATGAACAAAGTTCAAAATTTGTCCCTGCCACCAATGTTACTTTTGTACTGATATTTTTCAGAAAATCTAATATATTTTACATTATGTCCTATTTCTTGTCTTGGAACCTCATTAAAATCCTTTCAGCCTAATGAACCATATAACAAAACTCATTTGAATTCTCATGAATAGAGTATGCAGCAGAATCAGACCGAAGATAGGATAAGAAGAGTGTGAATTAGTTAAAGACATTGGAACAAAGGAACATAATATTTATGCTCAGAATGTTATCAGAAAGAGCAATACAAATGCAGAAGGACATGTTCCTGTGCTTTTTATAGATTATGCAACGGCAGTCAATAAAGTATACCACAAAGATGTTAGAACTGCTCAGCAACCTTGACAGATTTGGGAAGGAATAATTATAGAACCTATACTGACAGTAAACTGTCTGCGTATGGATAAAAAATGAGTTCAGAAGCTACACAAATATAGTAAGGGTTATAAGACATGGATGTGTCATCTTACTGGATTTATTCAATGTATACAGTGAGGCAATTCTGGAGGAATTAGATGTCCTACCAGGATTTATTATTGGCAGCCACAATCTTAACATAAGATATGCAGATGATACAGTGTTGATAGCAGACATGGAAAGAAAACTACAAAAACTCCTATAGAAGATAGTGAAAGAAAGGACTAAACATAAACTGCAAGAAGACAAAATGCATAGTTGTTAGCAAAAGGATGAGCCAAAAATGCAAATTAGAAATTGGGGATACTAAAATCAAACCATTACAAAAATTTAAGTATCTGGGAAAACACATTGGGATGGCTAAAGTGCCTTCCAAAAGCTAAACAGAGTATTAAGAAACAGAAAAACTTCTTTAGAAATAAAGAGTACTGACCTGTTATGGGATACCATGGACTGAGCATGTGAACAACAATGAGGTTTTTTTTTTATAAAACCATTTTTTTTATAAAAACCTCATTGCTATAATTGTCTATGACCTGAAGGGACACTGCACATAAAGAAGATAAACTAATAAAAGGTTTGATTTGTGACTGAAATCATTATACTTTTTCAACTGGTTTCAAGGCAATTTATATCTTAATATTGCAGTCTCTCCCCCTATCACCCCCAAATTTATTTGTTTTTGTTTTTTTAATAGTTATTTATCTTTTACAAATTGATATATGCTTAAGAAAAAAACCCATGTCTTTAATTTTGAAAAGTTGAATCAAAATTTAAAATATTTTTTGTTACTTGAGCTCTTCCACATTCATCTGGCTTTATCAATATAATTACTGATTACAGGAAATATAATTGCCATTGAATAGTTTTTCTTTGCCAGTACGAACATTAATGGAACAGTGGGTAGTAAGTGTTGTCAGTATGGTTTAGAGCAGTACAGAAAGCTTAATAAATTCTTTGGATAGATGTGAATATATAAATGGTGTATGAGAAATTAAAAAAAAAAAAAAAAAAAAAGCAGCTATGTAAGTGACCACAGGCTACCCAATTTTTTTTTTTTTTTTTTTGTCAGTAATGAAGGTAGTAGTGGTCACTACTTTGACCTATCATTATTTGTCTCTCCTTTGTTTACTTGTCTCGCTCTCTCTCTTTCTGTCATGCTTGTGGGTGTTTTAGAAAGTCCACAAGGTGGAGGTTACTACTGCTTTTTTCCCCCCTAAACAATCCTCTCTTTTTCTCCATCTCGCTCTCTCTCTCTCTCTACCCCCATCACAAGCAATTGTTTGGCTGGCTCACAATGTCCCCACACCCTCTTTCTATCCACACACACACACACACATATATATATATATATATATTTATGTGTGTGCGTGTGTATATAAGTGTGTGATAGCATTATTTCAAGCAACATTACCCTCCAGTGTTACCTTTCCTCATTCTTGCTTTTTGCTTTCTGCTATTTCAAATCTCATGGGCTATGATCAGGTCCAATTTATTATTTTTATGGTAAGGTTATTTTTTTTTAAATATGTTATTTCCAGAATCTTTAAGAAACTCTTGACAGCAATTAACTATTTTGAGATTCAAGAGAAAACAAGTGTCAAGAACACCATTTAAATAATTTTTATTTCATAAAAGCAGAAAATTTGCAGCAGTAATAACATTTTTTAAACAGAAGCACAAATATTTTTTAGATACTTGTAATGTTATGCCATAAGCAAGTTTGAACAAAAGCTGGAAAATTAATGCTTCTTTATTTTCTGCTGTTTTTTTTTTTTTTTAATTAGAATTTAGTGTGTAGCATTAGTTGATACTTGTCATTTTCACTTTTAGAGTCAGTGCTGTCAAAGGCTTTATAAAGTATTTTGGTGATTTGAAACATACATATATAAAAAAAATAGTCTTACTTTTTCTTCACTTCTTTCATTGCTGCTTATGTTGTAGTCAGACTGGCATTATGCTTTCATGATAAACACCAGGAAACCCAAAATTCATTTCTTTTTTGTAAATGATTGCATTTTATTATGAAAAGATTTGCAAATTATTAATAAAAGCTGAAGAAAAA